GCACGAGAGGGAAGAGGGTCAGAGGGAGAAGCAGACTCCCCGCTGAGCAGGGAGCCCGATGTGGGACTTTATCCTGGGACTCCATCCTGGGACTCCAGGATCATGACCTGAGCCGAAGGCAGTCGCTTAACCAACTGAGCCACCCAGGCGCCCCTATTTTTATTTATTTATGGGGTTTTTTATTTGTTTGTTTTTAGAGAGAGAGAGAGAGAGAGGTGGGGTGGAGTGGGAAAGAGAGAATCTTAAACAGGCTCCATGCCCAGCACGGACCGAACATGGGGCTTAATCTCATACCCTGAGATCATGACCTGAGCTGAAATCAAGAGTTGGATGCTTAACAAACTGAGCCACCCAGGTGCCCCAAGAGCTATTTAGTTTTAAAACTTAAAGAGGGCACGCTCTGCATGGAGCACTGGGTGTTATACACAAACAATGAATCATGGAACACTACATCAAAAAGTAATGATGTAATGTATGGTGATTAACATAACAATAAAAATTTAAAAAAAATTGTAGTTTAATTCCCCTCTGGGAATTTAATTCCCCTCCCCTGGAAAAAGAGACTGAGTTCCAGTTTATATTACGACAGAGCAGCCTACATAAAACCACAGTAATTTTGGTCTCTAACTCAGTACTCTCTCCCTCCCACCACCTTTCTTTATGCTGCTTACAGTGCCTCCATGCATTCTTTAGCAGGTTCTTTAGATTCTTTCACAAAAGGCAGAGCCAATATGATTTGCTGATGGGTTGGAAGAACGCAAGCAAAAGCAAGGAATTGGATCCACCTAGTGAATGGTAGTAACACATTAATTTGAGGAAGATTGGGAAACTGGAAGGGAAAATCAGGAATTCTGCTTGGCCATGTTTTCTCGAAGTGCTTATCAGGAGCCCAAGAAGAACCATGGAGCGGCAGGGTTCAGGGGAGCAGTGAGGCTGAGACTTCTTTGAACAGCATCAGCATCAGTATGGAGTAGAGTGAGGTGAGAACTGAGCTCCGGCACATTCCAAAATTGTGAGGCTCAGAAGAGAGGTTTAAGGAAGGGATTCTATTTTTTACCCCGCTCTAGCAAAATGAAACAACGCTGTATGTTGCTTACTTTTTGCCCCCCAACCCCACTTTATCAATTATTTTATACTAATTAGAACTTCTTATCACATAATGTTATTTTTTTCAAGTCGTTATTTACTTCTGGCCCTGCACTGTGAAACAGAACTCAGTGAAATCTATTTTAAGCCATTATGGTCTCCAGCATGCAAGGAATTTACTGGTGAAAGTGGGTAAGACAATAGTCACACTCTAGCCAGTCTATTTTATTCCCAAAGGCTACTGAGTAGAAATCAGAATAATTACTTTATAATTATTACAGAAAACAGTATTATCAAAACATACGTAGGGAGATAATTTAAGTAAAGACCTTACATGACATCTTTGAGTGAAATGAGGATTTCCCATGAGAAGGCAAATGTCTTCAATAGCAGAGTGAAAATAAGTATTAATGTTAATAGCTGGCACGGGTAGAAACATACCCTCTTTAGGAAAATACCCGGATAAATTACACAGAGTGGATTATGAGACCATGAGAAGAGGATTAGAAGGAAGACCAGGAAACAAAAGAGCTTACTACGCCCCTCTGCCTTAGAAGGGAGGAGAAAGTTAAAGGAAAAAGAGCCAATGCCCGGGCAACCTTTGAGATTGCGCAAAAAGTTTGGAAGCAGCAATGTCTATTGACTATCAGAAAATTGTTATTAATGCAGCAATTTAAACTTCTTTTATTTGTTTCTTTTTCTTAAAGATTTATTTATTTATTTGTGTGTGAGAGAGAGCATGGGAGCACACACAGATGGGGGAGGAGGCAGAGGGAGAGAGAAGCAGACTCCCTTCTGAGCAGGGAGCCTGACCTGTCCCAGGGCTCTATCCCAGAACCCCGGGATCAAGATCTGAGTGGAAGGCAGATGCTTAACTGACTGAGCCACCCAGGCACCCCTAAACTTCTTTTAATTTAAACCCCAAGCCTTCATCAAAGTGTGCTATGCACACAATGCCTTCCGTAAGTGCTTTTATCTGTGTGTCTGTGTGTCTGAATGCATTTATGATTTTGTTTTGTTTTGTTTTGTTTAATTTGCAAGGCAAGGCAAAGTGCTGAGGTTAACTCCAGGACAGATGATAAATTTCAAAACCTAGCATGGAGAGTAAGAATTCAATGTTGTTAGAAGCTGGAGCCAGAAATGGCCAGAAGGCATCACTCACCTACTTCACTGCCTTATATTTAGAAACCAGAGGCATATTGGTGAGGATTTCACTAGCTATAAATTGTGAATTGGAAGTCTGAACCAATCTTAAATAATCCTAAGGCACAAAGTATAGTATGGTTTTTGTTGTTGTTTTGTGTTTTGTTTGTTTTTTAATTGTGCTGTCTTGACCCGGTTTTTGAGGCCTTAGCTAGAGGCCAGTTTGTTCCCCTTTTGGAGCACTCAATTAAATCTCCACCCCTAACCACTTCTCTTATCTGGCTTTCACACTCCGGGTTATTGTGCTTTCTTTCCCTCTTTCTTTCTTTCTTTCTTTCTTTTTTTTTTTTTTTTTTGTTTTAAGATTTTATTTATTTGAGAGAGAGTGAGCATGGGGGGTGGTGGGTAGAGGGAGAAGGAGAAGCAGCCTCTGCGCTGAGCAGGGAGCCTGATGCAGGACTTAGTCCCAGGACCCTGAGATCATGACCTGAGCCGAAGGCAGATGCTTAACTGACTGAGCCACGCAGGTGCCCCCTGTGCATTCTTCTTAATCATCCCGTGGCCAGCTACCATGCAACTAGGTACGGCTCCTAGGCACAATTATTCAAATTAGCCAATTCATAATAGGGAACGCTGGAAACCTAGCAACCCACCCCACCTGCCATCTATAAACTGCTCCCACAGCTATTCTTTTCTGTACATTCCCCTGTGTGGCCCTGTCTCTCTTCTGGAGCTAAAAGCAACCAAGAGTTCTGCCTTTCATCTATCCTTTGGCAGTGTGTCATGTCCCACGATCAAAAGAATCTTTAAATCTTATCAGACACAAAGAAGCATCATGTCAATATCTGGTATTTACTTCAAAATGTAAAATATGTATATTTATTCCCTTTATATGGAAGACATTGATATGGTGACCCTAAATAACACATCTTTCAACTGGCTGTGTAAGAATCACACCAAAGGATTTGTGAAAAACGTAGACTGATGTTCCATCCTAAACCAACTGAATCAGAATTTCCAGAGGGAAGGAAGTGGGAAACTGTTCTCAAGTTTTTCATATGATTCCTGTGCACATACTAATGTAGGTACCGCTGATATGGAAGATACACAAAAGATACTGGCTCACCTTCAAGGATTTTAACTCTGGATTGAAACCCTAGATCTGCTTTTTACCCCCATGTTATATTGAGCAATTTACTTAACCCTTTGTGAGATTCAGTCTTGCCTGTAAAATGAGTATAATAACTTGCTAGTGTGATGATTAATGAGAAATTGCCTAAAACTATTCAGCAAAATGCCCAGAGCTTAAAATATAGTAGCTGTTACTATTTAGAGAAAGCAAATACTAGAAAAAAATGTAATGTGTAACAAGGGCCAGGATGAGCAGATATGTACAAATTTTGAAAATAGGGGATAGAAATGGTAAAATCTTCCAATACTTAATTAACCCAGCTATATTCAACAGATTTTTCCCTGTAAAAATGGTAGATATTAATTCAGTATTTAATCCTAACAGGTATAGCTAACAGTGTAGTTCCTGAATACGGTGCCTCTGTGATGTAAATATTCATTTATTTGTAGGTGTTCACTGAAGATCTGCCTATTTGATTTATGCCAGTTGCTTCATTGACATTGTGGAGGGTCTCTTTTCTCTGCCTCTGTTGAAGCCTTCGGTATTTACCTAGATGGGTCCACAACCCTTTTCTCTCACATGTTCTCACAAGTTTTCTCTTCTTTGAAATCTTTATTTTCATCATTTAAGAAGCATGCCATGCAACTAGGAAGTGCCAAGTGTCAAAAATGAAGTAATTACTCAGCAAGTTTTAGATAACACTCCTACACTTGGAAGCCATTGGAGCAATTGGTTTTGAGGATCTTTCCACATATATGCATACTGGGATGATCTATTGTCTGTCTGGGCTGGTATGGATGACTTTTTCTACACTTCTTTTGTAACGGTGACACCCACCTTGGCTTGATACTAAGCACAATTTCCCTTTAGCATTGAAGACACACTGAGTTATCACGTTTTGTTTAAAGTTCCCACATTGCTGTAAACCACAATTGCTTCTAGTATTCACCTCTTCACCCTTCCCTATTGCAAAAATAAAGGGAAATAAAAGATGCAAATTTAAGATCTCTATTAAGACTGTTACTCTTACTTTCTTCACTCTTCAGTGGCTGGATGATCATGAGCAAGTTATTAGCTTCTCTGAATCCATTTATTCATATATAGAATTAGAAATGGCAATACCTGCCACATAGGAATGTTTTGAAGATTATATAACAGAAATTGATGTATGTAAACTTCCAAGCATAACACTAATTCATTACTATTTTATTTTAAATCCATGTCATTAAGAAGGGACAGAGGGAGGAGGAGATGGAGATCACTTCCATCTAGACAAGTTAACTCCGTGTTCTCATCTTCAACCCTGGCACCACACCAATAGGGTCCTTATAGGTCACTGCCGTTTATTCATTCTATAGGGATGGAAATTATCCAAGGAAAAGCAGAGATCGTACCGTTGAAGTCCTGCTCCCTCTCAGGGAAGCACAGTGAAGGGGGCTGGGTTCCTTGTACACCCGGCAGTCAGAGATACCGTGAGGCTGGCAAGAGCTATTTTCTGTCACTGTACTTGGATTCCTCCCAGGCCCAGTGGGGGTAGTTCAACCTTGAATCCAGAGATCTACATTCTGATTTCAGCCCCATCATAGGCAAAGCAATTTTAGTCATGTTATTTAAATTTCCTTGTTCTCAATTTCAGCAGATTTCAAGTAAAGATGCTCATCCCACTCCTGGCCTTCCTCAGAGAGACTCTATGAGAAGATTTTCTCACCGATACACACTGCTGTGAAGTTATTAGAGACAGATGTATTTTCATTTTGTGAGCCCAGGTACTGCAATTTAAGCCTCAGGGTTGTTTGAATCTCAGAATATAATGTCGGTATATAGAAAGCCATTATCTGTTTCTCTCATCAATGACACTTTCTCATGATCCTTCTATTATGCCAGTAAAAATAGAAGTGAAGTACCTAGTAACTGGAAATGTTTTATTTTTCTATCTTTTTTTTCTCAAGAAAAAGAAAGTATTTTGAAAGTGTCATCTTCTAAGGAGCTTATCAGTTCCCACAAAGTTTTTCTTAGGACAGCCATACCCTGCACAAAGCTAAGTGAAATGCTGACACGACTACATTTCTCTTTTCGGCAAGTCATCTCATATGGTTGCCTTTATTACCAAGGTGATAAAAACGGAGGGAGGAAGTAGAACAGCATCATTACATCACCCTCAGTGAAAAGGGCACACGTATTTCTATTCAATGAGGGAACCAAAAATAGTCATTTTAAATATCTATTCAAATACAAACATTTGTGGAGCCCTCCTTTGGTGTTAGAGATCTGAAAATGATTAAAACTTGGCTCCTGTCCTCATTCAGTTGACAATCAAAGTAGTTTCAGTAAATTATTATGTGTCCCTGGATTCTGGACTGATGTCCTCAAAGATGAAGCAGCTTTTAAGAAATTAATTAGGTTCCTGTCTTTAATGCTATTGTCAATAAAAATCAGGAAGAGGAAAGAAAGACTGTGCGAACAGCACATTTTTGTGAATCTCAAAACAGATCTTCTGACTATAGAGACTGTAACAAATTAAGCAGACCTCAGTTTATATATCAGGCTCATAACCAAAATCCCAACAATTCTGTTAATGTGGCACAGGTTCCTGTTTTAAGGATATCAATTCTGATTCAGTGTATATAAAGGAATCAAGCAGGAAGGTCAACAGATGGGATCAAATATGCAAAAAGGAAAAGTGCATTTGTCAAGATGAAGAACAAAATCTTGTTCTTCAAGAAGATATCACCATCTTCTGTTTCACTGTGAAAGATTTCTAGAGTGGATGTGATTTCAACTAGGCATTGAAATGAATAACAGATAGTAGTAAATGAGTCCTTTGGGTAAAGTATGGCATCGTACGATCACTTATTTTGAATTCTTTTCCATCCTCCTTGAGATGATGGTAAAGAAATAAAGTCTTATAAACTCACAAAGACAATGAGGACAGAGGATAGCATGTTATGAAATGGGAAACTAAAAAAAAAAAAAAAAAGAAAAGCTGAAACCTGCAGATGGAGAAGCCCAGTAGAAACAAAAGACTCATTCTGCATGACTCCAGTGAGCTTCTCTAGTTAGGGGATTTAGAGACCTCAGAAGCTAGGGGCAAAGGATAGGTTTGAGAATAGAAAGGTTGAAAGATGTGGTGAACATATTATTTAGTGAATCCATGAGGATGCTCTTGAGAGTAAAGGATTCATTATTAACTATTAAACCACGATACGGGACATACATTAGGACTGTCCTGGGCAATGACATTAATTTCATGTAAAAGGAGCATGTTCAAATCTTGCTTTTATTTTTTAAATTGAATTATACTCCTTTTCAAATTGATTTGTGTTTTAATATACAGTATTTTTGATACTAACCCTTGTCTGATATGCATTTCATATCTCCTCCTATTTTGTGACTTGTCTTCTAATTCTTAGGGTGGAATTCCTTTTGTGTGTGTGTGTGTGTGTGTGTGTGTGTGTGTGTGTGTGTGTTAAGGAATAGAAGTTCTTAATATCAATGTCATCAAATGTGTTCATTTACCCCGTTCATAGTAACGCTTTTTGTGCTCTCCTTAAGAAATCTTCTTAATAAGATCATGAAGATATTTGCTTATGTTCTTTTCTAAAGCTGTAAAGCTTAACTTTCATAGATAAGATTTTAACCCACCTGGAATTAATTTTATGCATGGCGTGAACTAGAGATAAAATAGTTTTATTTTTTTAGTAATTTTACCCCAATATGATTTTTTGAAAAGCCTGTTTTCCATATTATTCATATGAGTCAACTGCCCATACATAAGCAGTGGCTTCATTTCTAACGTTTTTAAATTAAATTAAACTTCATTTTAATTAATTTTATTTTTTCCTAAGTCTGTCTACATGCAACAATAATATTATGGATTTATTTTTTAGTAGTTTTAAAGAATTATCTACTAAAGCATGTCTACTCACTTCATTCTCTTCTTCAAGAGGGTCATAAATACAATCTACCCTTTGCATTTCAATCAATTTTTTAAAATTATTATCAAATTCCACAAAATCCCTGTTGGAATTTTTGATAGAGGTTGAGTCTATATAAATTAACATAAGGAGAATAGCCATTTTTACAATAACATGTTTTTCAGTTTATCAATTTATGGATTTTCCACTTATTTAGGTTTTCTTAATTTTTCTAAAATAAGATTTTATAATTTTTCTACATAGAGATCTTGCCTGTTTTCTTAAGATATATGTTGATAATCTTATAAATGTTATATTTTCAAAATTTCATCTTCTGAATGTTACTGGTAGATATTTATATATTATTTTTTTTGTCCTTTTTTTTAATTTTTGAATTCGGCTATCTTGCTAAATTTTTATCAAGCCTAATCATGTTTCTGTAGATTCCTTTGGATTTTCTTTTTACACAATCATATAATCCACAAATAATGACAGTTTTATTTCATTTCCTATTCTCATATATTCCATTGCTTTTTTGATTTACTATTTACTTCTCCCTTGTCTAGCATCTGTAATACATTGTTGCACAGGACATAGTGAGCATTCTCTTTATCCCTATCTTAAAGGGCAGGCCTTCAACATTTCAACAACATTGAAGTTTTAGTGCTGTTCTAAATGATATTGTATATATCCTTTATCAGATAAAGGAAATTTCCTTTTTCCCCTTCTAGTTTCTGAGAGCTGTTAACATGGAGGTTAATTTTATCAAAGTTTTGTCAACCCCTATGAATTTTTTCTTTTTTAACCTATTTTTGTGGCAAAATGCACTCAATTGTTTTCTAATATCAATCTAATGACTTTTTGCTGTTAAACTAATGCTCCTCTAGGATAAAACACACTTTTTTCATAATAACATCCTTTCTACATATTACTGTACTGTTGACTTATGAGTTATACAACTGTGTTCAAAAGTGAAATTGTACTCTAATTTTCCTTTTTTTAACTTTTAAAAAAAAATCAAGGTGTTACTAGCCTCATAAAATGAATTTGAATGTGTTATTTATTAATTTTTTTTCTTTTCTGGGAAGATTCACATAGAATTGAAATCATTTCTTCTGAGAACGTTTATTAGAACTTGTCAGTGAAGCCATATGGTCCTGGAGTTTTCTTTGTGGGAAGATGTTAAACCAGTGATTCTTTTTCTTTAATGGAAGTAGGAATATTCAGATTTACTATTTGTTATTTTTTCTACAAATTTGAAAAATATGAATTCTTTTACTAATAACCTCCTCTTATCAATTTAACATTCACACCATCCTGATACTGGCTATTTGTGACTTTTTTTTTCCTTGACTTACTTCAGGTTTGCCAATTCCAGGACCAACCTTTGGCTTTGTTGTTCCTCTATATTCTGTTAGTTTTTCACTTATTTCATCAATTTCTGCTATTACTGTTTTTATTTCCTGCTTTGCAGGCTCTTTTGTCATTTTGGGCTTATTCTACTGTTATTTTACTAATCTCTTTCAATGAATACTTAGTTCCTTAATTTCAATCTTTCTTATTTTTTAAAAAATATGCACTTAAGACTATTACTTTTCCTGTATTAGTTTAATCCCCTTTTAACAGTTTTTAAGTTTTCTTATACTTTATGATATTTGCACCATTATTAAGTTGTGATACTCTACCTTCTAATTTCTGTTATAATTTCTTTTGTTAATTAGTATATTTTTAAATTATCAATTTTAATGCCTTGAAAATGTATTTAGCTTAATTCCATTGTGGTAAGAGAATGTGTTCTATATGATTTAAAACCTTAAAAAATTTTGAGAGGCTCTACATTATTCTTTTTGTTTAATACAATCAATGTTTACTTTTGCCCACATTTTACATTTTATGGATTTTTTTTTCCCCACATTTTAAACCACCTTTTCGGCGCTTCATTGCTTCTTGCAGTTGAGAGCTTTTATCTGGAATCACTTCCTTTGTACCTACAGCACGCCCTTTAGAATTTTCATCAGTAAATGTGGGAGCGCTGACAACACTGACTGCAGCTCCTTCAGGCCAGGGCATCCGTCCCCCTTGGGGTTGTGTGTGCTACTCCCAAAGGAGGTTAATGTAGCCCCTGACTAGAACGTGGGAAGGCTTGTTCTGACCGTCCCTAAAGTGGTTCACAGAAGGCCCCACTTTAGATAACTACCGTGTGACCTCAGCACCTTGCCCATCACGTGATAAAAGCTGGGGATTACAGTCTGGACTTAGCAGAGGATAGGTGTGTAGGATAGCCGTGCATCCTGGATTGCAAGCCCGCCTGCCGGCCGGATCCTCCCCATCAGTAAATTACCCTGATTCAAACGGTGTGGAGGGTATGGAGTGGCTTGCTTCATTTTTCCGTCTCAAAGTGCCTTCTCGGTCTGCAGGATACGATACTGACCCTCCTCCATCTTCTAACAAGAAGGGCTGCTGGTGAGCGCTCTGTTATCTTTCATCTGAGAATGTCTTAATGTTGCCATCTTCCTGAAAGATACATTATTTGGGTATAGAATCCCAGGTTGCGTGTTATTGTCTGTCAGCCTCTTAAAGATAACAATTTAACTGACTTCTGGCTTTCATTGTGCTTAGAAGAGATCAGAGACAGCATTATTTTGAAGGCAGTGGGTCTCTTCTAGTTGTTTTTTTGTTTTTTGTTTTTGTTTTTTTTCCTAGTCGGTTTTAACAGCTTGTCTTTCTCTTGGTGTTCTGAAGTTTCATTATACTGTTTGTATCTGTGGTTATCCTCCACGTCTTTTATGCACTTCCCC